AGGGATAGAAAACGACGTGTAAGTTCTAAGGCCCAGGGGAAGAGCTGAGGCTACATCTAGGTGGTTTATATAGAAAAGAAGCCATTTCTGAAGTTAATAACAGTTCAGCAGTGTAGGACAGGGGCAATGAGCCCATGGCACCTGTGTGTTCCTCTGCCACCCAGTACCCATGACAGGCATTACTAGTCAATCATGGCACCCTTGCCTATTCAGCCCCAGCTTCTTAGCATTGAGTCCCAAGGAACTACTACCAATTGATCCCCAGTGTTGTGTGAGTGGAAACCTCGCAAGGCCCACACAATAGTGTCTGACTACTGCATTTAGTGCAAATTTGTTGAGAAGGCAGGCCTTCCTGGAAGAGACTGGGATGGAGAGAGAGCAAGTATCAGGTACATGGACCAGGTTCTAGTGCCCAAGATTTTGGCACAGTCAGGAGGACTAGGCAGGTGGTGGAAGCAAAGCAGGTGGGGAAGGATTTTTGCACAGATGGACTGTGAGGTCAGAACAAGTGATCCCAGGGCAGAGGCCATCTGCTTGTCTGTCTGCCCCCTGCCCTAGTTTTATGCATCTTGGTTGATGTGAGCAGCTGGTGTCTGGCCAGGTATGTGCTGCCCCCAGAGAGACAGGCCAGACTGTTCAGGTGCTGGTGATGGTGGGGCCCCAGCAGAAGGTGTGGGCCTCCAGAAGATGCCACCATCTCTAAGTTCTGCTCAGCCTGCAGGGCCAAAGAAGGACAGAACAAAGGCCTGGGCTAGGAGATGGGATCCTTTGCTTTGATGTCTGTGGCTGCTAAGTTATCCAGTGGCAGATTCTCTTTAAAACCATGTGCCAGGCACCAAAGGCCCTCAAGTGTTAGAATAAGTGAATGAATATGAATGCCAAAGACTCACAGAGATTGACAGGAGCAGTCCTTCCTTCACACTTTACCTTGTTGGAGGGGAGCACAGTTTTCCAAACAGGTATCCTGAAGACCTCTGCTCCTGATGCCATGACTAAAAAGAGTTCTATGGGAAACAAAGTAAAACAAATTGCTTTGCTTGGGATCTTCTCAGAGCGTAAGGTATGCTAAGACAGTCTGTGAATATTTAACATAAGGACAGAGCATGCCGCCTTTTCTGAATTTACTCACTCATGGAAACCTTTGGGGGATTCTATCAATATCTCATGGGACTGGTGTTCCCAAGAACCCAGTTTGGGAAAGTGTCTCCCAAAGTTTCCCACGTTGCCCACTACTCTGCAGTGTGCCGCTCCGCCACTGCCCCTCCAGTGCCGCCTGCATAGTCTTGCCCACATGCACTTGCTTATGCTGTCCCTGCCCCTACAATGCTTTTTCTTTGCCTTCTACCTTTTCATATTCAGTCCATCTTAAGTCCCATTCACTTGAAAGTCTTCCACAGGCCCCCCAGTGAGTCCTAACCACCTGCTGCTTTAGTCTCTTCAAGTAGGTGGAGCTGATATGTGTTAATTTTTGTGTGCATGGCGTGGCCCGGGTCCGGGCAGGTGGCGCCCCTGGAGGGCTCGATTTATGAGTTCAGGCTGTAGCAGGAGTGCCGACTGACTCCACGTCATGGGCGGATATGAGAGACTCACTTCCTGGCCACCTTCTCTCCCCTTCCTCACCCCTGCCTGGCTCATCAGGAGTAAAGCAGCCACACCCCCAGCAGGAGAGAAATGTCTCCACCTTTGGAGCGTGGCTCCCTTCCTTGCTCCTTCATATGCAGGGAGCATAGTCGAGAGGGAAGGAACCAGCTGATCTATTCACAGGTCTGTTCCTCAGAAGGGAAACCAGGGGCATTTTCTTATTTAATTATTAATGCCCTAAATCAGATGTTGTCCGATATGTTAACCTCTGTCACTCTGAATGGAGTCGGCCAATAACCACTGTGGTGGCATCGATTTCCCCTCAGTTGTCTTGCAAGCACGTGTCTTTGGGATCCATCCTCTGCGAGAGAGCCGGGGAAGCCCCGTTAAAGTTCATGGCAACGAGTTGTCCCCATGTGCAGACGGCTCCATTCTGGCTGCTCTTCCATCTGCCTCAGTGAAGAGTCTGAGACAAGCAGAAATACTTTTTCTAAGACTGGTTCCCAAAAGGAACTGACTTACTCGGCCTAGGATGCGGCCCCACCTTCGAGTCTTATAGACACATTGGAGAGATAAAGTAAACATACTGGAAAAGGTGTCAGTACAAGATGGGAAGTGCTGAGTGCTGGGCCATGTGGCCCGGATCGTAAGCTACACGAGTGTAGGGAGCCTGGCGCCCCGAGGAGCCAGTCCCTGCAGGGGGCCTCTGGGCGCCTGAGCTGGACCTCGCGTGGATGGTCCTGGGATACGCAGAGTCCATGAAAATGGTGTTTGGAGCAATGGGCGAGGGGCAATGTGAGCAAGGCTTGGCGGTGAGAAAGAACAGGAGAGAAGTCCAGCCTGACCCACAGGGGGCGGATGGGGGATAAGGTCACATCTTTTGGATTGATTGAATTCCAAAGAAAAAGTCTGCATGCTAAGGGGGCGGAGGACGGGGCCTTCTCTTCTGTTCTCAGTCTGAATGTCCTTTTCCCCATCACACTTTCACAGAGACAGACCTGGCCTCAGGTGGGGAGCTTTGTGAACTGGGGGCTGTTCAAGGCTTGTGTGTGAATCCCGGGCCCCCCCCACCTCCGCTCTCTGGAAGCTAAAACACCATCATACTAATGAGGGAGTGGGGCCTCAGACCATCAGTTTAAATGCCACCTTGCTGGCTGTGCCTTATGGAACGCTGTCCATCTCTGCTTGCTGTGCGCTCATCCAAACCCCCGCCATCCTCTCTGTGCCCTGGTGTCCAGGTATCTCACTGCCAGTGGGAGTCAGCTCAACTGTCCTGTCCAGATCCGACTCAGAGAGAAAAAGGATTTCATGAAAACTGAAAAAGAGCTCCCAAATTCTAGCAATGACCCAAGTTACCTGTGTCTCCCATCCTCTCCTATAGCCATGGATCAACAGGGGCCAGAGAAACAATCTCCTCTAGCCTAGCAGCCTCATCCTTTGATATTCTAAACTTCTTAAATTGGAAGAGGCGGTCGGGGGTCCTCTTGGAAGAATGCTGGACATTACAGGAGCCACCCAGGTGATGAGACAGGGTGCAGGGAGAACCGCAATGAGGCATTCTCTGCTGTTGCCATTCAGACTGTGCCTCCCAGAGGTGGGTGTCCCTTTGATGTAGTTGATTTATTTGATGCCTCGTCAGCCCAAACCTCACCTAGAAGAAGATGCCCCACCTACTCTTGGGCCTCCTCAAAAGCGGATGCCATGTCCTGGGCGGGCCCTTTCTCACCCTGCCTGTGTCTCCTGTTGGAAGAGAATGGGCTGGAATACGGTGCAGCACTAGTACTGTATGCGCTCTGTGCCTGGCAGTCCCTGGAGGGGCCGATTAGTTCTCTGGGGCCCAGGGGTGGGATAAGCAGGCTGGGGAGATAGGTGGCTGTGGCTGTGTGCTCCTGGGCTACAAATTGAACATAAATAGCAAAATCGATTTTCTTCCCTAACCGATTTTCAAAACACATTTTAGCCAGCTTATTTCCATATCTCAAATAGAAAAACCTCATTAATCATTAATTTGGACCCCCACAGTTATTCAGAATTTGTGACAATTTGTTTATCTTTGAAGGTGCTGCTACAAAGGAGTTTAATGAGGGAATTCTTGGGAATGGGGAGGAGGGCATTTAACCTTTCATGAAGACAGGAGCCTCATTTAGCTTCCCTCTGGTTACAGGGGGTACATCTGCAACATCCATGCCACCCTTCTCTGTCCCCAGATAGAGTGAGCGCCCCCTCATCTGTATGCTCAGGGCCAGTGAGCAGCAGACCCTCAACCTTTCCAATGTCCAGATTTTTTCTATACCATCTCCACTCCCAGTTATTAGAAGTCACATTTTTCAGTGTGGCTGTTGAGAAGAAAAGCTACTCTGAATTCAGTAAAGCTTTAAAGCAAATCATGATAGCATCTATGTACACATGAGAAATAGTGCTGTCTTTCTGAGCCCTAGTGTTCATGCATCTGTAGCCAATGTCTGGGCCTCTATGAATTCCCCACAGATGCCCCCCTGCAGGTAGAACCCTTGGACAGCTCTCTTAAGTCTGTAGGACCATGGAGCCCTGCGATGCCAGGCCAGGAAGGAGCCTGGGGGTCTTTCAGCCTCTCCCACCTTGCTCTCTGCCTCTATGAGGAGCTCTTTTTTGGGTGAATGCTCAGTTTAGGGGACCAAGGGGGTTGGCGCCTGTATACACACAATGCCTGCCACAGGCTGTCACTTCAGGGGCCTAGATCAGACTCTACAAGCTGCTTCCTCCACGGCCCCTGCCGGGCTGTCCACGCCCTTCATCCCCCGGTGGGTGCGGTGTGTGCAGAGACTCACATCACCCCCTGGGCTGCCCATCGCTAATGGCCCATAGTGTTCCAAGCAGGAAGGCCCAGCTTCTGGGTGAGCTCCAAGGGTTTTCTCAGCTCAGCTTCCCGAAGGGTCATGGCAGACACCTTCCTTCTCTCTCTTCACGGTGGGAAGGAGTAGTGTGAGGAAGCGGATGGGCAAAGCACGTCAGAGACGAGGGAGAAGGGACAGAGGGAGGGTGTTGCCTTTGAAGTAGTCCAGGTCGGGGGTCTCGGTCCAAGCATGGGCTCGGGCCTGAGGACACCCTGAAATTATAGCTAAATGTGCATGTGGGCATTTTCTACGGAGAAGTTCTCTGACTTCCATTCGATTCCCAAAGCAGGTCCATGAACCAGAAAACTTACAGAAGCCCTGGAATTTGGACTTCTCCCTGACTCAGGCTTCCCACTCCATGGTTACCATGTTAGTCTAAGCCTGCAAATGCTCATTATGATGATGATGGGAAGCAGTCTGCTTAGCACGTCTGTGCTGCCTCATGTGAGAAGTCTCAGCACCGACAGATGCCTGGGAAGACGTTCTGATCAATGACCTGCCTCCTCTGTTGGGTGTCCCTTTGATTTAGTTGTTTCTCCCACACAGGGCCCAGGATGGCGCTCTCAGAAGCAGCGTTCATTGTCTTCTCCCTCCTGCAAGCCGTCTTCTCTCTGAACCCTGAAGACCCCAATGTATGCAGCCACTGGGAGAGGTAAGCTGTGGGTGTCAGGTGGCCAGGGGCTTCCTGGGGGCCTCATCCTGGGCTTGGCCCTGTTGGGACAAAAGCAGAGTCAGGAGTTGCCTGCCAAGGGCCTGCAGTTCTGCAGGGGACCCAGCACAGATGCTGAAGAACAGGACGAAGCAGGATAGATTCCGTCTGAGACTAGGTGCCGTGGGAAGTCAGGGTGGAGAGAATTGAATGACAGTTGAGTGACAGCAACTTAAATGACACATTCTGGTAGTTGACAATGTGTTTGTGTCCCTGCATTTGCACTTCCCAGCCATTTTGCAGACAAGGAAGTAGAGGCCCAGAAGGGCTCAGTGCCTGTGCATGGACAGGTGGGGTGCAGGGAGAGACTGTGGTCCGGATGTGGTATTCTCTAATGCTGATGCCTTCCCTCGTCCCCCAGGACTGGTAGCAGTACAGCAGCCTGCCCTGAGGAGGATGGCTGAGGGACCCTGCAGCTTCCATTCCAGGGGAGGGGTAGGAGGGCTGCCAAGGGGAGGACAGCTGAGGGCTACTGCAGAAGAGCCGGCTGCTTTCTGGCTGCAGCACTGGGTCCAGGGGGACTGGGATGGGGCCCTGCAGACTGCCTGACTTTGAAGCATAAGGTTAAAGTATTGATTTGGGTGAGCCGAAAGACAGTGACCAGAGACCCAATCAGGAAAAACCGAATTAAACCCTGGAATTGATTGGTGGTACTGACCAGGATGACTCTGCCACTTAGATGTTAATAAATCAAATGAATAAAATTCAGATGAGGGCCTGATGGGGGAAGTGGATAGTGGAGGTGGACAGCCGGTGGGGTGGTCCATGCTCCTTGCCGGAGAGGGTGTACATCCCACCCCACAGTCAGGAAAGTCACCTCACCCAGGCAGCCCTGGGCCCTGGAGGGACTGGCTGGGGAGGCAGAGGGACAGTGGGACTGGGGACCACAATCTCCAGTGACTGGGCGCTCTGTGAGAATCCATACAGAGTTGGGGCTGGAGCAGAAGACAGTGCTATGAGCAGAGGGCAGAGGAACAGATCTGTGATGAGGACCTTGGTTCATTCCAGATTTTCCACCTGCTGGCTCTGTGACTTTGGGGAAGTCTCTGAACCACTCTGAGCCTACTTTTGTAGGCTCTGTCAAGTAGGAAAAATTACCCCTGCCTCACAGGCTTGTTAGAAGATCAGGGTACCAGTTTCATGAAAGTGCTTTGAGGACCATGAAGCCCAATTCTTGTCTTTTCTTGCTGACAGCTCTGCTTTGCAGGAACTGGTTATCAGAGACTTTAATGCGAACCAGGCTCACTGGGAGTGTGGGTGAAAAACAGAGTCTTTTGGGTCCCAGCCACAGAGATTCTGATTCCATAGGTCTGGGGTAGAGCCTGGGAATGTACAATTTCCATGCGTTTTCCTCATGATTCTGAGGTTATCGTAGGCCCTGGCCCCTTCTGGTTTTGGTGAATTTAAACCTTAATTTCCAGAGAGTGAGAGAGCTATCGGGTGGAATTTCACCTTAGTCTCTGCTTGGCAGACTCTAATCTCAGCAACCCCTCTCCCCTTGGACCCCTGTCCTGGCTTAGATGGCAGTTGTTTCTCGCCCATGTCTGTGCTGTATCCCAGCCCTTGGAATGCCTCCTTCCCCCTGCTCATCTCTGCCATTCCCAGTGCCTCTACAGAGGTCCCTCTCCTCCAGGGAGCCTTCCCTGATGGCAGGGCCAATCTGACTTCTCTCTTTGAGTCCTGTTTGTACCAGTGGATCAACTCAAACTCAAACCAAACTCTAATTTTCTATACCTATGTCCAACACGAATAAATTTGGAATATTTGGAATATGAATACTTTGAACCGAGCCTGCATTAAGCTGGCCTTTCAGGCTGATTGGGTTGTCAGCTGAGGTTATTGTTTGATGGGAAGACAAGGAGTGACCCTAATAGTTTAAATGAGGTCTGGGGATGCCCTGGGCTTCTCCAGCCGCTCGGGAGGAGACCTTGCAGGTGATCCCATATGACACCAGGTGCCTCCGTCTTGGCTCTTCCAGCTGAGCTCTCCTGCCAGTTACATGTGGTCCAGTCTGTGGCATTCCAGAAAAACACACCCTGGTCCCCAGAAACCACTCAGGGAAAATTTTCTAGCTGAATTAGTGCTTCTGGCAGGCTCCTTGTTCATTATGCCCCTCTACCATAAAACACAGTGGAAGGACCTCCCCTGGCTAGTAAAGTCCAGTTCTACAAGATTAATCTGGCCCCTCATTAGCATGTTGGCAAGTGAGCGTGTTAAACCACCCAGCCATGAAACTGCACACTTCGCCCGGAGACTTGGAGTCAGTTTAGGGTCTCACTGCCAGACACACTCGGCCCAGGGCACCCCAGCAAAGCCAGGCCTGTCCCCGGGGACCCTCTGCCCGCCTGCTGCCTTGGGCTGATGCTTTCTCTCTGAGCACCCACTGTTGCTCCCCGTGCCAGAAGGGGTCCCTGAGAGCTTACCAAAGGTGGAGAGTCTGTTCTGTGTGGAGTCTTTCTCCTCTCCCCCAGCCATGGTCAGGGAAGAAATATCCTCAGTGCCTAGCACAGGAAGTGAATCATTGCCCTTCAGATAATAATGATGGCCAGCCTCTATGAGACACTTCCTGTGTACTCGGTAAGCATTTCACATGTATTATTATTGTGTTGAGTATTTTACCTATATTACCTTGCTTTATTTTCTTACCACCCTGAGAGGTAGATATTTTATTGCCTTCCTTAATCCTCACAATAACGGCATGAAGTCCCTGGGAGTATTTGTCGTAGATTTACAGGTGAGGAAGCAGAGGCTAATACGAGTTAAATAACATGTCTAAGGACATGCTGCTAACAAGTGTCAGAATTCAAAGCTGACCCAGAGACTGTGCACTCTTATCCATTCATTCACCTGTCTCTAAGTGAGGTGCTCAGTGGACGTGTCAGAGCTCAGGATCGTCGAATTTCAGAGTTAGCAGGACTTCGGGAAGCCAGGTGTGTGTGTCAAACTGCCTCAATTTCCCCAAGTCTATGGATTTGGGCTGTGTCTGCATAGATGTCCCTCTGATGTGTGGGCTGGTAGAGGCTCCTTACATCCTCAGCACTTCTAAGAAACAGTCTCTCACCTCCCTGAGTCTCTGTGCATCGCTGACTGCTCCTGGCCTCCTCTTTCTGAATTCTAGACCTTTGACCTTTCAGGCATCAGAGAGCCTGCTGAGGACCCACTTGCTATGGCCTTTCTACCTGCCTGACCCTGGATATGGCCTGCCCAGCCCCCTTGCCAGTAAACCAACAGTCTCCTCAGGCAAAGTGGATGGGCTTTTATAGCCTGGACCCGGCCATCTGGCCTTCTGGGGGAAAACACTGATACCAATCTACACAAAAATGAACTCCTCCAGTCTCAGCCAGGTCTCTCTAGTCTGCACAGGAAGTGTGAGTCCTTGCTTCAGCATCCTGGCTTGACTGTCTTCCATATGACCCTGGCCAGGGTCAGGCAGGTAGAAAGGCTTATTTTAGTTAAGTTAGGATCTGCCTCCCTGTGGCTGCCACCCATTGATTCAGGTTTACAGCTAACAAGGAGAATAATAAGATACCACTTTGATCAGGAGGTCTGGGGGCATGTCCCCAATGCACTGTCAGCTGTGCTAGAGACACAGAGCAGCAGGTAACTGGGTGACCTTGAGGAAGTCATTTCTCCTCTCATGCTCAATTTTCACCTACCTCAGGAGACTGTGTGAGGATTAAAAGGATTAAAACACTTAGCACTAGGTACTCAATAAATATTAGCAGTTATTGGTATCAGCTGTGTGACCTGGGCAGGCCAACTCCGAGCCTTAGTTTCTTCATCTGTAAATGAGACTCACTTCAAAGAGTTGCTTCAAAGATCAGCTTCCATGCATGTGCTTTGAAAACCCTAAGGATCTGAACAAACCAAGTATTTTAAAATTTGGTTCTGCTTTCCAGAACCACATAGAATAAACCTAAAACATTCTTTATTCATTCTTTGTCAGATGAACTAGAATTTCAGAAAACAAGCTGGGCCAAAGAGCAGTAAAGGGCATGTCTTGCATCCAACCTAGCATCAGGGGGATTTGATTACTGAGGGTATCCAGGTAGGAGGAAGATACTGGGGTGAGGGGTGGTTGGAGCCCCTGGACACTTGGCTGTGGGTGTGACTCTCCGGGGGATGGAGACTCCATCCTGAATCTCAGCTAAGCCTCCCAAGTGCTGACCATCGCTTCCATCTCCTGTCTGGTTCTCAGCTACGCCGTGACTGTCCAGGAATCGTACGCACACCCCTTCGACCAGATCTACTACACGCGATGCACAGACATCCTCAATTGGTTCAAGTGCACCAGGCACCGGTGAGTCCCTCTGTCAGATGACGGGGCAGTGAGAAAGTGCTGAGCCCCCAGGTCTTACCTTTGTGCAAGTTTGTAAAAGGCCCCTGTAGCAGATGCAGCCAGTGCACTGCCTCTGTCCTCTTGATGCGCACTCTTTACACTAAAGACCTGAGATGCTGGGCCGAGGGCTTCATCCTGGCTGGAGAAGCTTACAGGCAGGGCAGGCCAAAGTGCTAGGGAATGACTGCCCGTGGGGGCACCCCTCACCCAGTGGCAGATGGGGAACTGCCGCATCAACACCCCAGCTTCCTTACTCTCAGAGTAGAGGGGACAACTCTGGGGCATGTTGCACCCATATCTCGGCGGTCCCCAAGGGGAAGGAACCCCAGTCACCCATAGCTGTAGCCTGCTCAACAGCTCACCCTCAGTGGCTCCTTTACTTCCCTGTCTCATTTTTCCACTCCCCTCCTGGTGCTTGGTAGGATTACCTCCCAAATAAACTGCCTGTCTTCAAATCCTTGCATCAGGGTTAGTTGCTGGGGGGAAATTCAACTGAAGATGGGCCCCTCAGAGCAGATACAGCCCCCAGGTCAGGGCACTGACTTAGAGAACAGAGTAGAGGGTAGAATTTGGCTCCTTGGCCAGGCTGCCCTTGGGAAATGCTCCATCTGAGCAATTGCACATAGGAACCCTGCTCCCTTGTCTGCAGCCCTCCACAAATCATGCTGTTCTTTCACGTCACTGGCCGGGGAGAGGAGAGGAAGGCAGAGAGAACATGCTTTGTTGGGCGACCCTGGGCAAGTCACTTTATTTTGGGATTCCCAGTGTACTTATCAAATATAATGATCCTTGTCCTTCCTACCTACCTGCAGGGTCCAGTGAAGTCAGGGATGTGGAAATACTTTAAAAAGTGCAGGAGAAAATGGAGAAAAAAGAGGTATTAGATGCAGGCAAAGTGGCACTATTTTTTAAGGGATGAAGAAACCAGCAGATGAAGGGTAAGTGAGGGGAAGAGGGAGAGGCTGCCTGGGGGGCCCACTCCCTAGTTGCTGAGCATCTATGCTGGTTCTAGATTTCTTTTGCCCTTCAGGCTCCTTGTGGGCTCAGTCCCCCTTTGCAGTTTATGCAGGAATCTTGGGAGGTAGCAATGTGGATGGGAAACTTGCTCTATGCTGAAAAACCAAAGTCCTGGTGTTCTTTGAAGTTCCGCTAGTAATTTGCGGTGAGACACTGAGCACAGATATAATACCTGCTTTAAAATCCTTGTCTGTTAATTCCAGCATCTGGGTCGTCTCAAGGTTGGTCTTTATTGATCGCCTTTTCTCTTATATAGGTAATATTTTTAATTTCTTTATATGTCGTGTAATTTTGGGTTATATTCTGGGCACTGTGAGCAAGTGACTGTGGAGACTGAACTTTTTTGTTCCTCCAGAGAGTATTGATTTGTTGTTGTTGTTGTTGTTTGTTTCCACACCCAGTGAATTTGGCTAAACTCAATTTCCAAACTCTGGAAGTTCGGTCTTTTTAGTCTTAGCTTGACTGCTTGGATCCTGCCCTCTGTACACGTAATTCAGGGGACAGAAGTTTGGGCAGAGATTTTACAAAGAATATGGGGCTTCCTCTTTGTGGCTCTTTCTTTTCTGGAGTTTCCCTTTTCACTTTGTGGTTACAGGCACTCCCTGGACTTGTCCTGTGGTTCTTCAGGCCGGTAAGGCTGCGTGTCTTCTCTCTGAATTTTAGTCGCCTGGAGTATTGCTAACTGGGGTCTGCCCTTGGGCTGACCTTCCCAGTGTCATTCCTTCCTCCCAGTGTCTACTTCCCTCCGGTATCTGCATTTGTTCTCTCTCTAGTGCTTTCAAACAGTTGTTTTTTATGTTCCCCAGCTTGCATAGGTGTTTGCAGGAGGGTTGGTCCAATAGGAGCTGTGCATTGCCTTCCTGTAGCCCTTGTTGGTGAACTGAGGAGATGGGACCAAATAACTCCCCTAATTGTGCCAAGTTAGCTGTCTGTGGTCCTGGTCAAAGGCAGAGGCAGAAATAGAAGTCCTGCCCCTTCATGAGCCCTGTCAGGCCCTGTGCCAGAGCCAGGTTTGCTTGGAGGTGTGGCTTTCTTGGGCACTTGGAGGCCTGGGCTGCTGTCCATCACGACTAAGGAAGAGTGAGTAGGTGGCTGCTTATTAAATAGGCTGCATTCCTGGAACATGAATTATTATTTTGCTAAATTACGGAGTCGCCTTGTAGCTTTCCTGACGCCCCGGAGTGTGCATGCTGACAGCAGCACCATTGGTGTGCGTCAGTGCGGGATGGCTTGCTTGACTGTGGCATCCTTCTCCCGGCTGCCGGCCCCTTCCCTCCCCTGTTTCCCACCCTCACGCCAGGAGCAGTCAGGGATATCTGTCTGCTGGGGGGGCTTTACTGATGCTGAGACCACCTCTCCATTGGAAGGGCTTGGGGCTAGTGCTGTTGGGAGGAATGGACTGCATGACCTCTGAGTCACCCTGAGTCATTCTTTATCTGAGAGGCTTACGTAACCCCTGCGATTGCCAGGGGCCTTCCTGTGCCGGTGAAGTAGCTTCACTTTGAGGCCAGCTTACCTTCCATTATGGGTTTTTGACAAAGTAGAATGACTTTAGTTTATGACATTCCCAAATATCACAGATTTCCCTGGAGTCCCACACTGTCATTTGTCATAAAGGGTGGGCTGTAACTGGGGGGCTGGCCTGTGTGGGAGGATGCCCTTCCCAAGCTGGCCTGACCCGCCGTGGAAAGGGGGCCGTAGGAGTCTCCAGTGCCCCACCTGGCTGCTCTGCCCCAAGAGGAGCAGTCCACGGAGCAGGCTCCCCTGGGGTCCCGGTGGGGAAGCAGAAGGGCTCTGGTTTCAAAGCTCGAGGGCTTGCAGTTGAGTCCTAGTTAACACCGTGACCTCATCTCTCTGGTCTTTAATGGCCGCTTCACATCTCTTCCATTTTGACCTATGTGTGAGGAAGGGGCTTTGCCCATCAATACCCCATTTTGAGCCCCTTCTAAGGACTCAGTCCTCACATCGTCCATTTCGCTTGTCTTATTCCTTCACCATGGCCATTGCATAAGCCCAGCAAACCACCTGTAGGAATTGACATGGGGCAGCAGGTTAATCCTAGTGGCTTCGACATTAAAGTGACTTGGGTTTCAGTCCTGGCTCCCAAACTTATTAGCTGTGTGACCTCGATTAAGTCATTAATGTCTGTGAATCTCAGTTTTCTCATCCATAAAACAAAAGGAGGGGCACATAAAATAAAGAATAAAGGCTCCAAAAAAGAAAATAAAGGGAGCATAATAATGCTGCCTGCCTCAGGCAGAGAATGGAATGGGATTTTGCCTTTCAGTCTCTCTGGCTCAGGGTGAGGTCTCAATACCCTGGTCAGCCTAAGAACAGGAAACTGGTCTTTAACTTCTGGTCCAGAGCTGCTGCTTCTCCCTGGGCCTTAGCTGCTTCCCCTGCAGAGCCAGGGGTCAGTGCTCAAGGGGTGGCAAGTGAGGCTCTTCGCCAGTAGTGTTATTTTTGGTGAGAGGGAGGTTAATCCACCCTCTGGGACTGAGTCATACTCAGAGAGTCTCTTGCTGACTCTGCTTCAGTTCTGCATGTGGGTGGACCAGTTCCTGGGGAGCCACAAGCAGCCCGCTTATTGGGGTGCTGGCAGTAGGCATAGACGCTCCAGGGCCCAAGTCCTGTCCTGGTCACCCCATGGGCTCCTCCAGCCCAGGGTCTGGAAGCTTTAAGGAGCCCTTGGTTGCCCTCCACAATGTCACCCCAGAAAGTATCTTCCCCTTCTAAGTATCTCTCTGCAGGGACTGGGGACAAGTCAGCAGGTGTAACAGCAGCAGTGTCAGAACTACATTCTGCATCTCAATGGCCCACATCCTGCCATCGATTTTTCTTTATTGTGTGTTCCTTCATATTACAAGTCGCCATGCATTTTAAAGTAATTATTGAATGGCATCCTCGATATAGCTTAACACAAATATCATTCTAACGGGAGTGATTGATTTTCAATGCTTTCAAGTAGTTCTCTCCCTTGTGCCTTAGGATCAGTTACAAGACGGCGTATCGGCGTGGTCTCCGGACCATGTACCGGCGGAGGTCCCAGTGCTGCCCTGGCTACTACGAGAGCGGAGACTTCTGCATACGTACGTAGGGGCTGCCTCTGTTCTGGCCTCTGGAGTTGGGGGAGCAGATGGAGGGGGACAAGGAGGAAGGGAGGTAGGGCTGTCATCCAGGCCCTGGGCAGCAGGCCTCAGCTGACCTGAGGGCTCCACAAGTTCCTGCCTGCTGCCGGCTCTGATGGGTTAGTGGGTCTGGTGCAAACAGGTCAGCACAGATGTGTCCATCAGAAGACCCTCCTAACAGGTCAGTGCTAGGCTTTGCTGGGGTCAGAAGAGAAGTGGATGCTTCTGGCCTAGGTGCTCTGAGGAACAATGGGAAGAAGCGCTGTGTGCCTGGCACAGAGCTGAGGTGCTTCAAAAGGCTTCAGGGGTGGAAGGAGGGATAGATGGATGGAAGAGAGGAAGGAAGGAAGGCTGGATCATTGGTTGGCAAGATCATTGTACCTAGAAGGAGGATGACAAGAGTAGGACAGAACATAAGGGGCCAGTTCCAGGAAGTGGGAGGGTTTCTATGAAGGACTGGGAGACACCGAAGAAAAGGCGGATGCATGAAAGACACATGTTAACCTCTGTCCCTATTTGTCTGTAGTGGCTCAGAAAACTGAAGCCTTAGTGTCCCCAGAGAGGCTAGGGCTGAGCTCTGGCAGCTGAGGGCCTCTGGGCGGGGGTGCCATGTGGTACAGTGGAAGACACCCTGGAGCCTGCAAAACTGGCTCTGGTCCCAGTCCTCCAGGTGTGTGGCTTTGGAAAAGTCGTGTAACTCCTGCAGGAGAATGACTGCAGGACCCTGGTAGAGGGTCACTCACCTCTGGCCAGGGGAATGGGACCAGTACAGTGTTTTCTGGGGGGCACTGAGGGTGCCCTTGAGAAGCTGGGAGCCCCTGTTGAATGACTGAGAGGAGAGCGCACCCCCAGAGCTCCTGCCTCCTCCTTCGGGGGCAGCTTTGCAGAGTGGTTTTCCTTGTTCGCGTTCTCCTTGCCGTTCGGGCGGGTGGAGCGAGCCAGCCCCCCAGAGAGTCTGGGCAGGGTGGGCGTGCTGATGTTGGGAATGAAATGACAATTTTCCCCTACTGATGTTCTGTCTCTCCTAATGCTGGAGAAACTCGATTCTAATTGCGTTACAGGAATGAATGAAAAATGCTCCTGCAAATGGGTTCAATAGCGACGGTTTTGCAGGAAATACAAAGTTACTCGCCCAAAGCAAACCCCACAAGGCTGTTTCTCAGGAGCAGAGCTGAGGGCTGGTGACCTGGGGTGGGGTGACTATGAGACCCAGGTGTGGAAGTGAGATCAAGGCTTTGCTGTTCCTGCTCTATCTGCCTGAAGTGGAGCGAGAGTCGGGCGTGGGATGGGACACAGGACTCATAAAGCCCAAGCAGGATGCATGTGAACAGCTCTTTGCAGCTCAGAGCACAGTGATAGACTCAGGGAAATGATAAAGGGAGTTTGGACGTCAGCGCAGGGCTCCGGGAATGGATGGGCACATCCCCTTCCTAATTGCCATTTGTGGATGTTGGTAAAGCTCCTGGCAAATGAAGAGCAGGGCAGAAGCACTAAGTGTCCTGATTGTACAGGCTCATTGCTGACCAGGAAGGGCAGCTTCTGTCCTCCTACATGCTCCTTATGTAATGGCAGGTGCTGCCTGCTGAGCTGGTGGCCACAGGCCAACCCACTTTCAGAAGCCAAGCTAGCAAAGCCACCTTGAGAAGGGAAGGTGTTTCCTAGAAGGCACAGGAGAGTATCAGCAAAGAGACAGGGCCCTGAGGCATGTCAGGTGCTGCTGGTGATGACACAGAGGCTGGGTTTGAGTCACACACAGGCCTAGGTTTGAGCCTCAGCTCTGCCCCTGACACATTCCTCCCCTTAATCTCATTGCCCTGGTCTTCAGAGTACACAGCCCATGCCAGGCACCTTTCACTTTTACATACAACTCCTCACATTAGCCCTCTGAAGTAGGTACCCTTATTTCCCCCATTTTATTGGTAGAGAAACTGAGTCACAGAATGATTAAGTAACTTGGCCAAGGTCACACAGCTAGAAAGTGGTCGAGCTGGGATTTGAGCCTAGGCTGCCTGGCTCCACAGTCTGCTCTGAACCAGCGGGACAGGCTACTTCTCTGTTCATGAGCCTAGGCAAGATGCCACTGCTCTGACCCGTTTCTGCTCATGGAAAGCGGGGATAGTAGTATATACACCACCAGGCACAGCATAGGGACTTAATGTTAGGGCCCACTCGATGGATGTGGATCTTAACATTTTTTCTGTCTTGGTTTTTATTTTAATATCTCAGTGCTCCATGGACCCTCTCCCTGGGAAAATGCACATTACATGTATAAACCTACACATATGCACAGTCCTTTGTATACAGTTTCAGTGGGTTCATGACTCCCTTGAAATGTACAGAGTCCTCGCACCCATGGTAAGTAGGTTCTTCCATGTGCTCGTGTTTATTCATTCAGCTTGTACTGGTTGCTTCCTATTATGCAAGTGCCGGGGAAGAGATGCACAGGAGATATGGCTGCTGCCTTGAGGAGCTTGTAGCCTAGTGGAAGTACACAAATACAGGACACAGAGTGTATAGGCGCTGTCGTGGCATCTTCATAAAGACGGGCAGGAGTAGAGAGAGGCTGCCGGCAGCGACACCCACTTACCAGGTGTCCGTAAGAAACCAGCTCCAGGCAGCAGAGCGAAGGGGGACACCCTCCAAGGGTGTTTCAGCCTGATGTTTATTAGCAACGGCTGTGGCCCACCCACGGTGCTGTGCTGCAATTCAGAAATAGCCCCTGCCCTCCAGGAACATGGGCCTGCTGGGAAGACGGGACCAACATGCAGGAAAATGATTAGATAGCAGCCTGGAGAAGAACATGAGAAGGACCAGACAGAAACCGGGCATAGGCAAGGGGGGGCTCACGGAGGCTTCGTGGGGCTTTGGGACAGATGGAATGGCATCTTGGGGGTGGCTGGAAAGGGACCCATCAGCAAAGACCTGGAGGCAGGCCTGAGCACAGTGGGTGGATCTGGGCTGGGAGGAGGAGTGTGACGCTGGCTGGGTGGGGTGTTCATTTCCTAAGGCTGCCGTTACACCACAGCCTGGGTGGCTGAAACAACCCTGAGCTTACTGCCTCACAGTTCTGGGGCTAGAAGTCCAAAATCTAGGTGTCAGCTGGTCCCTTCTGAGGGCTGTGATGGGGGATCTGTTCCAGGTCTCCCTTCTGGCTTCTGGTCATTCCTTGGCTTGTGGCACCCCAGCTCCACTCTGCACATGGCATTCTCCCCATATGTGTGTCTGTCTGCACATGTCCTTGTTATAAGGACAGCAGCCCAGTTGGATTAGGGTCCACCCTCATGACCGCATTTTAACTTGATTTACCTTTGCAAGACCTGATCTCCGACTAAGGTCACTTTCTGAAGAATTAGGGGCTAGGACATCAACATATGAATTTTAGGGGACACAATTCAGCCCCAAACAGGTGGGTATCAGCCATTACCCAGTATTCTTTTTCCTGCTTATTGTGGTGGGTGTAAAGAGTGGGGGCAGCCACCCACCTCCTGCCCACCTGTCCATGAGGGAGTGGTGGCCCCAGGGTCACTAATGAGAGGGAGAAATGGTAGTGATGGTTGGAGGACTGTACCCAGGGTGCTGGGTGCCATAGGAGAAGCTTGCAAACCTGGGAGCCTCCTGAAGGAGCCCAGGCCCGGCAGCCCCTGCCCCTCCCCCTCCTCCGAGGTGTGGTCAGACAACCTCCAAGTTCACCAGAACCTGGCAGGAACCTGTCTGATGCCCAGAGACCTCAGAACCCTACTTGAGAACCTCACCCATGCTCTGGGAAGGAGCAGGGGGACACTGACCTCCCTCCAAAACCACCTTCCTGGAGCCTAGTTCTCAGCAGATGTTAGAAGGACACTGGCTTGGGACTGAAAGCCTTGCCTGCCTCTGCCACTGACTTGCTGTGCAGTCTTGGGCAAGTCCCTTTGCCTCTCTGGACCCACTGTGGAATAGGGAGGGTCATTTCTGCGTGTGGAAGGAGGACAGATGAAGCAGTGAGCTGGAGTGCCCCGGAAGTCATAGGGCTCCATACAAAAGCAGGGTGGCGCTATTTTTCTCCTCTTTGTAGCATTTCCTCTGTCCCAGAACTGCCATCCTCGTCCTGGAGCAGCCCACCTAGAACCATCTACATCCTTTCGAGCCACCCCCTCTAGGGAAAATGGAAGTTCCATGACCGGGATCCTCACCTGACCCTGGTCTGCTCTCCCGCTGCACGTGTGCAGTGCTGGCAGAAACAGGCTTGTGCACGCGTTGGCAACGAGCAATTATTGACTCTATATGAAGAGCTGTGCCCAGTGCTCTGGGGTTGGGAGGTGGTGGAGCAGGAGAGAGATGGACTTGCTATATGCAGACTTGCCCTGGAGGCAGACATGATTCTAGTGCTAGACCTGCCATCACAGGAATAAAGCTAAGCGTAAGACCTTTTACCCCAAAAATGTTCTGCTGTCATTTTTCGGTCTCACAGAATCCAGAATGAACTTGCCAGGGGCTGAAGCCCTCAGGAGAGACACCCTCCCTCCTTCCAGCTCTGGGTACAGCTGAGGCCTGGACTGCCTTGGTTGCCCAGACATCAAAGATTTCCCAAGGATCACCGGGCGTAAACATATGTCTGTCTTTCCCCTTTCTTGAGAAATAGGGCAGTGGGCATCTTGCCTCCTAAGATGGAGTTACTTTTAATTCACTTTGGTAGTGGGGTCTGAGGCATTTTGGGAAACTCTGCTCTTTGAAAACATTAGTCTGTAATATTTCTGACTGGATGGGCTGGGTTATGCTGCAGTAACAAACAACATCCAAATCCCAGGGGCTTAAAACAATAGTATTATTTCTTATTCATATGGCATGTCTGTCACAGGCTGGCTGGGGCCTGCTCCCTGTCAGCCTCATCCAGGACCCAGGCTGCAATGTGCTGGTGGCCGTGGCGGAGAGGGGAGGGCTCTGACGGGCCTGTCTGGAAGGCAGAGGGCCAGAAGTATTTAGTG